CCCCTTCCCCCCTCCCCCTCCCTCCCGGCCCCCAGGGGAAAGGTGAAGGTCGTGTGAGGGGGGCTTTTGCGCGTCGACCAGGCGTGCTGGTTTTCCAGTTCAAGGCATTTCGAGGGGACTGCCATCCCGACGCACGGCGGGAGGGGGACGGGGGGAGTCGCAGGCAAGCCAGTAAAGGGGGCGAAGCCACCCAAGGCGAGGCGGTGAGAAACACGAAAGGACAAGGTCCGATATGACGCGAGGTCCCCTCCTGGCAAGGGACCTCTCGTGCTCACCCGAGCGGACGACCAATGATGCCACACTCGATGGCAGCGGCTTGGGATGAGTGGCAAACGCGAGGGAATTGCGGCGGCCAATGTCACTGCCCCCTTGTCTAGCCATGCTCAACGAACTGGTGGACAGTGTCGGGCGCGAAAACGACCAGCAGGAAGTGCGCGGATGCTCGGGGCCCCGATGCCAAAGGGGACCCTTTGCACTCAGTAGAGGAGCTCTGCCGCAACCAAGAGCCCCATCTCCATTGTCCCCGGAGCCGGCTCCAGCAACAGCAAGCGGAGTCGGGGCGAGCCATGATGGCGTGTTGCCAGATGCCCAACCGGGGCCCCCCATGTGTCGCGCCGCACTCCTCGCAGCCCAGCAACAGAGACAATGGGTAAGTGGCAGGGAGGACGGGGGGCGGGGGGCGGGGGGGGGGGGGGGGGTGCCACGAAAAGTACGAGGCGAGGTCCAATGGAAAACGGCCTCTGTGAGGAGAGACTGAGTGCTGTGAGGCTGGTGGAGTTTCTTGAGCTCGAGATCGCCTCGGGCCCGAGTACCGCCTCACATGGGTGTGCGCCTGCCGGCCCTTTGCTGGGGCAGGGGACCGGCGGCTGCGGGCCGCCGTGGCCGGCCGGGGGTGAGAGCTGAACTTTCAGCAGCATGGCCAGGGTGCCCATTGAATGGTCGCATGTGCATATGCGGGAGGTCGGAACGAAGCTGCACCTCGTGTGTCGGCAAGCGCGCAGGCGAACTACCCCGACCGGGACGAGGGGGAGGCGGATCCCACACACAGACACACGCACATGCCCAGGCGCCGGCACACAGACTACTTTCGAACAGCGGAGGTGACCAACAATGAGCGCCCCGCTGTTCCCGAGAGGGAGAAGGAAGGCGTGGCCGGTGCAGGCCGCCTGCCAGGGCTTGAAGAGAGTCCAGTGGCCAGGACATGACACGGTGGGGGGCTGTGTATTGACAAGCGGGCCTCGGCGGGGCCCGGACGGCACACAAAGAAGAAGAAGAAGAAGAAGAGGGATAAAGAAAAACCGCGCGCCGAGGTCTGCCACTCGGGCCACGCCCACGCCCGTTCCTCGCGGTCGCCAGTCGGCCCCGGGGCTCTTCCCTCAAAAGGGCCAGTCAGTAGGCGGGGCGTTTGTTTGTTGTTCGGCCACCTTGCCATGAGGCTGGCCTGTTCTCAGACCGACGAACTGGCGCTCCTGTTCTGCTGCTTATCCCAGTTCGATCCCCTCCCGTGGTCTTGGTGCCTCGCGGCGGGGTCGTAGCTCCGTAGGGGGGGAGTTGGCATCCTTCACGCAAGTGGCCCACAGCGAAACAGGGGGTCGGCAGGAGGGAAAATGAGGCCAGATCCCGAGGCAGGGGCAGCAGGTGGCCGGGCGAGGTCCGGCCTGGGGATGTCTCACCCCTTCTGATGAGAGAGAGAGAGAGAGAGAGGGGGGGGGGCAGGGGGAGATCATCCCACGAGGCGGCTCACAGCTGGCGCCGGTCAGGCAAGGACCGAGAGACCCCGACCAAAGGCCGAGCCTCGGGCGGGGGGGGGGGGGGGCCGGGGAACGGCGGTGGGTCGCAGAGCACCCCGGGACATGCGCGGCCGCAGGGGGTGGGCACGCGCGCGGGCGGGGCCCAGGCGAATGGGCGTCCGCGGTGTGTGTGCCCACTCCGTGTGCACAAATGCCTCCCATTCATTTGAGCCAGCGCGCAGAGATACATGGCGATTGGCCCCGACGCGCCAGGCACGCGACACCTACCCGCCCCCCCTCGTCCCCCGGACAAGGGCAAGCGGCCGCGGGGTGCGCTGCGGAGAGGCCAGATTACGGGCTACACCGCTGGGGCGGCAAGGGCCCGGGAGCCTGGCGCGGAGGGAGGGGGGTGGGGGGGCTTGGCCCCCTGTCTTGCCAAGGATCCCAGAGCCGTGATATGCTCGCGTAGGGTGCCCGAAAGGTGTCGCGTTTGCCCCGCCGGGCGCGGGTGTTCGCACGCGAGTCTCCCCTCCACGAAAGTAGCGAGAAAAGTCGGCCTTTATTTGCCCCGCCCGGGGGTGCTGCGCGCACCGTGGTAAAAATGGCCCTGCCCTTCTCCCGCGCCGGTGGCGGCCGGCGTTCGCTTGCACGACCGGGCACGGCGGAGGGCCACCTCCCCGTAAGCACCTTCCCACGCCTCCGCCAAATAACTCGTAACTGAAGTACCGGTGCCGGCGCGCAGGTGAGCCCGGGTGTTTGTGTGCGTTCACGGGAAGTAGATCAGCCGGGTGGCGGTGTGCGCATGTACATAATGGGCACTATTATTATCTTCTTCTTTTTTCCTCTCCTCCCTCCGCCCCCCGTCCCCCGCCCCCTGGAGCCCTCTTCTGTCTGCCCCCAAAATTCGTGCTGGGGCCTAGTACTTCCAGGTCGCTGGTCGGGGCTATTCTCCTCGCCAAGACGTTCAGAGAGGCCTTTGGTACGCCATCCTTCCATGTGGATGAGTCACCGGCCCCAGGACTCTTGCACCCGGCTCTCCCCCCCCCCCCCCCCCCCCCCCCCCCGGGAGGGCCCAGGGGTCCAGGCTGAAAAGGAGAAAAGGAAACCCACGGGCATCCCCTGGCAGAGGGAGCGAAGAGGGCCGCGAGCACGGGCGCGGGGAAGCCGAGGGAGAGGGAGACAGAGAGACAGAGAGACGGAGGAAAAGAGGAGGCGAACGAGACAGCAGCAACAGCAGCAGCAGCAGCAGCAGCAGCAGCAGCAGCAGCAGCAGAGGGCGGGCGGGACATGTCACAGGCCCGAGCCGAGGGTCGGCCGCAATAAGAGAGGGCCAAGCATGGAGCCTGGCAAGCCGCGGCGGCCCCCCGAAGGTCCTTGCCGCGCCCGGCCGGGGGGGGAGCAAGGGAAATCGCGTCAAAGGCCCATCAGGGTTCGGTGTTCAAATACCCTCAGCGGCTAGTGGTAAAGGCACCGTGTGAACAGCTGCTGCCAACTGCCCGGAAAACACCGGGCTCTCGCGAAGGCGCGTCGACTGGATGGCGGCCGTGCTACGCGAGCCGAGGAGGACACACCGGCGGGGACCGCGCCCGGGCTGCCTGGCGTTGCCAGGACCAGTGGTGGCAGGCAGCCCCAGCGCCCCGACGTCGAATGCCCTCGCCCATTATGCTCTGCGTGCCCATCGGCCTGGAGGGGATGGTGTGGCCGGGGGAGGGGGGGGGGGGGGCGCACTTTTGCCTCGTCGGCGTGGGCCGTCCGTCCCCAGCCCGACCCCGCTCAGATGGGGCTCCCCCCCCCCCCCCCCTCGCCCCTCCTCTCAGTCCAGTCTGGTCGGGGCCGGCAATGCCGGCCCCGAGCGTCGCTGGCATGTGTACGCTCCCGGCCACCGCCCTGCGCAGCCCCACGCATCCATGGCACTGCTGGCAGCATCGCCGTTGCGAGGGGGCCAGCTCGAGAGCGCACACACGCGGGAGGTGTGTATCTGTGTGTGCTTATGTGCCTGAATGTGCATGTAAGCGTGTGTGTGTGTGTGTGTGTGTGTGTGTATGTGCTTGTGTTTGGGGGTGTGGGAGTGCATGAGTGTGCGCATGTATACGGGGGCAGAATGATGGCCCTCTCGGCCCTCCTCCAGTCACTTCTGCGCCCAATTGCGGCTCCCCGGCTCCTGGCCAGGGAGTCGGGTCAACGAGGGCCAGGTTTCAAGCAGCGCTCGAAGGCCTGGGCGGTGTGCCGGCAGCGGCCCAAGGCCGTCTGCCAGCGCGCATGTTGAGCCCTCCCCGGGCGTGTGTTTGGCCCAGGGCGAACTTCCCGCGTCTTCGCGTGTGCCCAAGCCCAAGGGGGCTGGCCAAATTTTTTTTCCATCCTCGCCCGAAGGACGCTGGCCGTGGGCTGGCGGACATTCGGCGCCGGAGCCCGCCACCGCCGGACCTCGATTTCCGGCGCCCACCCACGGCGCACCCATTTGCGCCTGCCCCAGGCCACTCGCCTCACCTCGTTCCTCGGATCAGGCTGGCTGGTAATCCTTGATCCACGCGGGCCCCGGTGGCCGGTGACTGGTCGCCGTCGGAGACCAACAACACCGGACTCCCGGGCCAAAGGCCCTCGGCGCGGGAGGGGGGGGGGGGCGAGAGACGGACACCAGCAGGACAGTAGAGGGGCCGGGCAGGGGCCTAAGCGCGAGCGGAAAGGACAACTCCGGCTCTAAAGAAGGGGGCCCAACGCCCCGGGCCCGGGAGGAAACACAGAGATGGTCCGTTCAAGCCCCGCCCTCCCCCCCCCCTGTAAACGATGCCGTCCTGGGCCAGGAAGCGTGCGCACGCGATGCGGGGCTCATGCCGCTCCGAGATGTCCTTCCCATTCCGCCCTGCAAGCGCGCGCGCACGCACACACAGGCGTGGGTCACCCGCAAACACTCACAACAAAAGAGGGTGGGACTTGACGGTGCGGCGCGGCCCCCCCGCCGCCTCCCCCATGGACTTGACGCTGTCCAGCCGGGAAAGCGGCACCCATAGCCGGCCTCTCCCCAGGCATTTGGCCAGATGCCCTGGGCGCCTGCTCATGTCTGTGCGTGTGTGTGTGTGCGTGTGTGTGTGTGTGTGTGTGTGTGTGTGTGTGTGGCCGTGTGTCGTGCAGGGGCGGGCAGGCATCCCCTCGTAGGGTGCAATGGCCCACAGGCTCCTTGCCGGCCTGTGTTTGATTGCCACCCCCACCGCCTACAAGGTTGTTGCCCATTCCTCGGGTGTCCTGTTGCCCTAGTCGCGCGAGGGCACCCCGCTCCTCGCATACCAGTCTCACTTGCACCATCTCCTCTCTGGAGGCGCCGAGCCCCCTTTCGCCCCCCCCCCCCCCCGCCCCCTGCTCGCCCGCTCTTCCCAGATGGGATTGTTGCCCTTCCGCATGATGTAGCCAGGCCAGCCTTTCGCCAGCCACAGGGGCAACGGGTGAAGCCCGGACGAAAGGGAGGCAAGAGCGCCGGCCAAGAGCCGGCAGTCACGCACGGCGAACCACTCGGAGCCCGCGCCTTGGTTCGGCATCCATGTGCCCCGCCCGCAGTGAATGCACCCTCTCTGCACGTAATTCCGTCTGGTGTGCTTGTGCGAATTGTACAGATGCATACGCCTGGATACGACCCGCCGTGCGCGTGCGCCGATCCGCGAACAGCGGATGCTGGCTTATGAACCAGTGTCGCGGGCATGGGCGGCAGGCGCACGCGAGCGTCTCTCACCGTACTTGAGCGTGGAAATGTGGCCCCCGCATCCCTTTTGCATCACTTGGCAGGGGCCTCCCCCTCGCCCCCTTGTCTCACTTGCTCTCGACCGGGCCTGGGTGGATATCCCGCCGCGAAAGTTAGCGGACCTGAGGAGTGGGAGGATGCCGCGGCGCGAGGGGGCCCTGAGCCAGGTTCGAAGGCAGCCAGCCTCTTGGGCTCTCGCCCGGCGATGGGCTTGCCATCGCATCCGCCGACTACTCCTGCTGCACACTCTGATCTTCCCTCTCCGCGCCTGCTCCGCTCCTCCCCCCCCCCTCTTCTCCGCTTCCCGCACTGGCTTGGATCTCCTGCTTGTCCGCCGTCCCTGCCAGCCCCTCGCCTCCTACGACACCCCCCCCCCCCCTGCCCATAGCCCAGATCTTCGGAAAGCGTGTCGCCGCTCTTCCCTCGTCTCGACCCCATGCATTTCCCCCTCAAGCTAGGTCCCCTGCCTTGTCGATAGATAGCCCGTACGGCCCGGCTCTCCGGATCTCTTCGCTACAGATGTCACGGTGCCAGCGATAGCGCCAGCGGCAGCACCTGCGCTGTTGGAATCTATCACCGCTCACCTACCCCCCCCCCCCCACGCCCTGACACACCTCCCTCCGGCTCTCTCTCTCTCTCTCTCTCTCTCTCTCTCTCTCTCTGCCCCTCGCGGGCTCCCATTCCATCGGCCGATCCTCGCTGCTCAAGCCGCTCCACATTGTGGCCCGATCCTCTCTTCGGCCCTCCTCTTCGTCCCTTCCGTTGCCCCCTACTCGTGTGGTGTACGTCCTGGCTTGGGAGCCCGCCACATCCAGTTTTTTGCTTTCTGCCAGTCCGCAAGCCCGGTGTCTGTGTTGTTTCACGGTCTGGCTCACACTGCGGGATTACTCCCTCCAAGCGGCTCACAGTCGGTGACCCAAAACGAATCCGGCACGCACGCATCTCTCTGCCATGGTAGTATACATGGTGCGTGCATCATCCCCCTCCTCATCCCCTCTCCAAGCCTCTCCTCCATCCCCCTCCCTCCCTCCGCACTCGCCTGTCCAAAGCTCGGATGGCTCGGAGCCCCTTCTCTTTGTCGGCGGCTTCCACTGCAAAAGCCTGTCCTCTTGTCCCCCGCGCCTTTCTCCTTCGTCTCTCTCTCTCTCTCTCTCCCTCGGCGACCTTTTGCCGAGGGAAGTACCACTCCATCACCTCTTTCCCGGCCTGGTTTGTATTTTTCGCAGTCCCCGTTCTCTTCAAGTATGTGTGTATGTATGTGTCTGTATGTGTGTGCCTGTGCCTGTGCCTGTGCCTGTGCCTGTGCCCGTGTGTGTGTGTGTGTGTGTGTGTGTGTGTGCATGTGCCCCCCCCCCCACCCGCCCCCTCGGCCCCCGGGGGCGCACTCTTCCGGGCCTTTCAGCGCGCGGTAGCGCAGCACCAGCCAATGGGCCTCATCATCTTGGTGGGATCCGCGAAGGCCAATGCGAGAGCAGGTGCCACTTACACTCCCGGACGACTCCCGGATGCAACGATGTCGGTCCTGAAGAGCCAAAGGACCGGTCTCCTTTGTCATGGAGAAAGCCCACGAGCGTTCAGTGAGGACCTTTTAGATCGTTTTCTGTTTGGAAAGCTGGTACAGTGAAGTGAGCCCGAGATCTCCTGCCCTTGCGTATCTTTCTCACACCCTCTGCCAAGAGGGGCTGTCGAATAAAGGAGGCAGGGGGGGGGAGGGGGCGGGGCACATCCCGCGCGCGCGTGTCCAACCCCGGCCTCCCGAGGTTTGGGCCTCCGTGTGCCCTGCCGGAGCTGGCCCGGGGGTAGCAAGGTCAGCAGCAGAGAAAAGGGGCGAACCTCCAGAACGCCGGGCGTCCTTGTGAGGACGGCCCGGGGCAAATGTTTTGTTTTGCCCCGCGCATCTCCGCTCGGGGAAAATGCTCGAGCAAGCATGCGGATGCTCGTGCGATGGAAGCGCGCTGACCTGACAGGGGAGGGGCGGGGGGACGGAGGAAAGTTCGCGCATCGTACTTTTGTCCTGTTATTTGTTTCAATCGCATGCCCCATCCTTCTTGGAAGGTAGCCAGAGCCCGGATCCGCAATCAGGGGGCCCCATGTGTACGTGCGCGCGCGCGCGCGCGCGCACATGCATCCTGGCGCACAGCGGTCAGCCCCCCCCCCCCCCCCATGCATCCCGATATTTCCTGGCACACTGCCGCGGGACCGAGATGGGCCCTGGCGCTCATATCCCACCAGCGACTTATACGCGCGCAGATTCATATGTGTGTGTGTGTGTGTGTGGAAATGCGAACATGCGCCCGTGTGTGCGTGTGTGTGTGCTGCGGCCAGTCGCCCTGGCGTGTGTGTGCGCGCGCGCGTGTATGTGTGTGTGTGCGTGTGTGTATTTGTGCATGCGCATACCCCTCCCCCTCCCCCGGAACGAGCGAACTGCCGCATTCCCGCCCCCGCCGGGGCGGGGGGCCGGCGCTCGCCAGTGCGCCCGCCGGAGGTCCCCCGTGCGCTCTTTCTTGCACGGGAAACTCGCCGCAGGTTCATGGGCAGCCCGGGTATCGTGCGAGGTGAGCCCCTGGCGGTGAGAAATCACCCTTCATGAAAATCGCGCGCACGCGCACGCTCCAGAGCCGGCCATTCTGGTGCCAGGAGTTCTGCTTCCACAGAACTCGGCTACCAACTCTGGTGCGGGCCGCGTGAACGCGCGCCGCCGTGCGCCGGTCTGCCCGCCGGTTTGCCCGCGGACCTGGCCGACCCGGCCGCCCGGCGTCCCGCGCGCCCCTCGCTTCAGCGGGAGGAATGGTGTGCCCCACCTTTGCTCGAAGCTTGTTGTTATTTCCCGCGCATGCCTTGCCCTTGGCCGTCCTCCTCGGCTGGGGCCCCGGTCTCTGGGCGCGCGCTGGCCGTGCTGCTGCGCGGGCGTGGTCGCCCCCTTCTGGAGTTCCTTCCGTGTCGCCCGGTCCTCCGTGGGACCGCGGGCCGGCGCCGCCTTCGCCAGCCCGGCGTCTCAGGCCGGCCCATTCGCCGCCCTGTCAGAGGTGGCTGGCACGCCCTCTTCCTGCGTGCGCCCCCGCGCTACGTTCCTTCGGCTGGCCAAGGGCCCAGAGCGCCGGACCCCACTGACGGACCCCCTGTGTCCGGGGCCTCCGCTGATCGCCCCCCCCCGCCCTCGGTCGCGGAGGCCCGGCCGAGGCGAGAGCGGACGCCGGTCGCTGGCGCCGGCGCCCCTGCCAAGGCGCCTCCCCTGGGCCCGGGCGTGGGGATGCCACCGGGGGCGCCCTTCCAAGGGACACATATTCCTCCACATGGACGCCAATGCCACCGGGGCGGAGGGGCGTCCGTGGCCCAGCCCCAGTGTGGGCAGGCCCCCTGGGGGGCACTCCAAGTGTTTCACCCTGCCACCTACCAACCCAATCTGAACCGCATCCGAGCGAGTTCGCCCCCCTTTCCCCTCCCTCCCTACCCCCCGACACTGGCCCAGAGGCCCAAGACGACCCGGCTGCCGCCCGCGGCTGCCGCTCCCGCTGCTGCCGCCGCCGCGCCGCCGCGCCACCTGGCCGCCTGGCCGCCTGGCCGACCGGACACCAAGCCGCTGCCCCGGGCCCGAACTCCTGCGCGCCCGTGGGCAGGCAAGGACCGCCGGTGAGAATGTGCGCTCAAGTGCCGGGCGCACATACCCGAGAGCCCCCCCTCTCCCCCTCTCCCTCTCGGTCCGTCCCTCCCTCCCCAGGAATGGACGCCCCCCCCCCCCCCCCCCCGCGTTCCCCGCAACAGGCGGGGCGGGCCTGTCTCTTTCCCTCGCCCTCGGGCAGGCCAGCTGGGCGGAGGCCCGGACTAGGGGGCCAGCAACGCCCGCTTTTCCGGCGAGCCCCAGCGAAGCGGCCATGTCATCAGACCGGGCGCATTGGGGGGGGGGGGGGAACTTTCACACCAGGCCGATGCGATTGCACCAGCTCCGGTGCCCTGGGCGCCGCCCCGGCCCGCCATTCTCCCCGCCGCAACCCCCCCCCCCCCCCCCCCCCCCCCCCCCCCCCCCCCCCCCCCCCCCCCCCCCCCCCCCCCCCCCCCCCCCCCCCCCCCCCCCCCCCCCCCC